CCCTTTCAATCATCTAGTATCCAATCCTCTCAAGTATATACAGTCACTATTATTGTTCTTATATAATTTTTAATTAATTATTATAATTAGTTAATACCTTGTCTATCAAAATAAGAATAATAACAGTATAAATAAATAATAATTCAATATCTTATAATTATAATAATTTTTTATATTAAATTAAGAATAAATATATAATATTAAATTAAAAAAATTTTGCTCAAAAATTAAGTAATTTAATTGTTTTCTTAATAAAAATTTTTTGATCTAATAATATTATATACTTTATCTTTAATTATAATTATCTATTTGAAATATTATTATTATTTTTTATAAGTTTTTGAAAGAGCTAGAGAGTGTTTAATAATGTTATAATAAGTTACTTGATCAAGATAATTATAATAAAGTTTATTAAAAATTATAGATAGGAAAATATAATATAATTAAATCAAATCAAATTTATATGATATCAAGTATTAAACTATAATTATTAGTAAATCTAAAGAAAAATAATTGTGTATTTATAATGTGATCAGCTAGAATGAGTTTTGAAATTTTTAATAATTAAAGAGTTTTATGTAATAAATATATAATTTTATTATAAGATTATAATTTAATAATAATAAATATAATTTTATTATTAGATAAATTTATTATTATTTTATTATATGTTTTAATTATTTTTGAAATTTTGAGAACTATAAAATTATCTAAATTATCAGCTAAAATATATTAGTTTTATAATATTTAATAATTTGATAAATATTATTTTTATTAATTATACTATTGTTACTTTTGCTGGGATCTAATTACTTGTTTTGCTAGTATTATATTACTATTTTTATAAAAATTATATTTACTTAAAAAAGGAATAATAATGTGAAAAAGTAAAAATTAAAAAGAGAAAAGAGTATAATTTAAAGAAAAATAGTAAAAAAAATTTATATATAATATTTTAAAATTAAGAAATATAATTAGTAATAACTAATAACAAAGATTTTTTCACTTTGTTCTTTTTATAAGTGAAAAATATTTAATAACAAAATAATCAAAATTCAAATAACAAAATTAAAATATTTAAAATTCAAAAATTAATAATTCTAATATAACAATTTGTTTAATACAGTATAATATAAAACTAATAATAATTTGTTTAGTACAATATAATTTAAAATTCAAAGTTAATAATAATAATTTGTTCAGAACAATATATTATAATATTATTAGTATTTTGTTTAATATAATATGATTCAAAATTATTTATATATAAGTTTTAATATATACAATAGAAAGTAAAAGAAATAAATATTATTTGAAAAAAGATTTTTGTTAAAAAAGATTTTTTTTTCATTTGCAATATGTCAAGTTAAGACTCAGATAGTATCTCTATTTATACATTTTTCAAAATTACAAAGTAAACTAAATAATTATATAAATATAAAAATTAAGATAAAAATAAAATAACTAATTATATAAAAATAAACTAATATATATAAAAGTAAAAATAAAATAACAAAGTGAAATTATATATAAAAGTGAAAAAATGAGAAAGTGAAATAATAAAAAGTGAAATAATATATATAAAAATAAAATAATATTAAAGAAATTTTTATTATTATATGAATATTTTAGAATTTACATATTTTTTTTAATATTTGTGATATTTATTTTATTATTGTAATAATATATATTAATTTTTGTTTTATTTGCAAATTCAGTAAAAAAAATTATTATTAATTAATATTTAATAAATTATTTAATAAATTATTATTATTTTGAGTTTTTGCATATAAAAATATTTCAAATAAAAATAATAATTATATTTATAACAATTACTTTGAATTTATAATGAGATAATAATATTTTTTAACAAAATAAAAATAAAAATAATGAAATTAAACTTAAAATAAGACTTAATCTAAAAGAAAAACTATTTTTAACTTTAAAATTAAAATTAATATAATTAAACTAAAATAACTTAAATTTAATTTCAACAAACTTGAATTTTATTAATTATTAATACTTGTATTTGTATATATTTTATATTATATCAGTATAATATGATATATTAATATATAATATGATACAATATAATATAGTTATAATGTAATATATAATATAATAGATCTATATTATTACTATAAAATTATTAGTTTTTTACTTATTATACAAGAGATAATTATATTATGATTAATAATTTTGTTCTATACTGAAGTATTGATAGCAAAATAAAAAAACACATATATATAGTAAGATTAAACAAATATAGAAATAATGAAAATACCAAGAAAATTATATATTTAATTAAGTTAATAAAATAAAAATAAAAAAATAAGAAAAAAGAATCATAATATTATTATAATTAATTTCAATCAATTATACTTTTTATTTAGTTTATTATTTTGAAAGAAATAAATTACAATATATAAAAAATTTGGTTGTATTTTTATATATAATATTAAAATAAATTAACTTATAATTTATTTATAATATACAGTCAAACCCTCTATAATCACCACCCTCAGGAAAGCAAAATTTGGTGACTATAGAGGGAATGTGACTATAAAGGGGGTTTTTTACTATGTTTAATGCCTTTCCTGATCAAAAATCCTAACCATAATTAATTACAATGATTTTTACAAGTCTAAATTACTTGGAGAGGAATTAATTCTGATGTTCCTGAGGACTTTATATACATTTTTTTGGATTACATTGTGAGACATTATTCTAGAACTTAATGTAAAACGTACATTATTGTTTAAGAGAGAACTTAAGAGAGAATTAAGAATTGATTAAAAATAGAAAACAGGAATTTGAAATATAACACTACATAGAGTTTGAGGGGATTACTGAAATTGGTCCGGGCGAGTCTTACCAAAAATCGTGAGATCGGTGAAATTAGCTCTAACGGTAACATTACATTATTTATGTTAAAATTAGCTAAAGTCAAAATAGTTGAACGTGGATTCGTAAAATGTGTTAATGGATTTGGGAAATGTCACTGTGCTTTAGAGTAGTCAGAATCTATTTTACAGTTCTGGCGGAAAGTAATGGCGGCCAGTTTTTTATTATATTTCATTCAATTTGTCTAATAAAGTTAAAAATTATTATTTTAATAGTGCCTTTGAGTAGAGCATTATGTCCCTAAAATATCAGCACCTGATGTGATCTCTTTCCGTGTCAATGCAAGTTTGAATAAAATTTAATGGTCTAAAAATTTTGTAACTAGAACGTTTTTTAAATAAAAAAAAAAAACTAAAAATCGCAATAATTCGATAAAAATTATTCTGGTTTAAACGAAATTACTACCAAAATGTTCGTCTTATTGAGGCGAACTAATAATTATAAATCCTGATCACTGGTTATTGAGAAAATAAGTTTTATAAACCTGCAATCGGGAAAATGCCTTGCCATTATGCGCTCCTATTAGATTTTCGCAAATTCATCACATTTTGATTTTTTTTATTGTTATTATCTTGCTAGAAATCTAGCACTTTATTTATATATTTTGCTTCTACAAAAAATGCTAGTATTATAATAAAATTTACATAACAATCTCACCGCGATTACTTTCCGCCGGAACTGTACACTTTAGAAATAGTTTACTTTATGTAATGATTCAACACAACTTCGCGTTTATATTCATTACGTATTGATACGTTAATTTTAAATTTTTTTTCGTTGACTGCGTAGCTAAATTAAATTGTAAAATTTTAATTTCAAACTACGGTAGAAGTTATCATCCCAGAAGACATCTAAAAGCGCGTGCAACCTGTTAGAAGATGTCGGAAAAAACACAAAAATTTACACAAACTAGATCACACAAAATGTTATTGATTGAACTTTGTCTCGGAAATCAAAACCCACGTTTCAAAATAAATTTGTTTATTAAACACAAACAAACAATAATGCAACTGCGCAGATTCTTTAAAATATATGCAATCGCCCAGATCCTTTAAGAGATATATGCGCAGATTCTTTCAGAGAGATACGCGCAGATTCTTTTTGAGGTATTTATTGCAGAAACAGACGTAACTGTACGATTTTCTATGTTAATTCACCCACTATTGATAGTATTGATAGGTAGAATTATTTTATTTTGTTTATTCGGAATTACCCGATACATTTTTTTCCATTTTTTACTTCACAGTGCAAAATTCAAACACACACTATTTCCATTATTTTTTTGGATCATTGATCCGTTAATTAAACTTTTAAAAATCATAACGGTGACGACACTTGAAATTTACCATATCGATATCGATATCGATATCATACGTACACAGAATTAATTACATGTACATGTAGTTTATTTTTATCACAATGATAAATTGTTACAAAGTAATATTCTTTTTGTTCCTTTTAGAACAACACATTAGCATCCAATGATTAGTTTTCCTTTGTTATGTGTAATTGCACATCTGAGACTGTGAAACTCCTTTTCGGGTCTAGCATATCCTTTTTCTTGAATCCAATAACAATATCAATATATATGCACCAAATAAACTACATGATCATCGTTCATTGAAATTATAACAATAATATTTTTAGAAAACCCATATTTAGAAATTTGAAATTTAGCTTTGCCATGTGGACGACACATTTTCTATTCACTTGTTTTGTATTTTCGTCGCGTTTTCCTTTATTTTATGTGATTTCAAAGCATTATCAATGCACCAATATAAATTTTGGTGTACGTATAACGATAATATTTGCTCGTGAGACTAAACAAATAGTTCGTCCATTCGATATAAATATGGCTTGCATTCCCACAATTTAGAAAACATCCTCCACACATCAATCTCTTCTCTCTTTCACCATACAAAGGTGCTTCAGCATACTTCGAACATTCTCTTTGATTAGAATTGTTCGCTCTTTACCCCTATATTCGCTATTTGATAGCATAATCCCTCTCTGTCTCTCTCGAACTTTAGAATCACATCCATACTTTTTAGAATTTATAAACTCAAATACCTTCTCTCATCCTCCATACATTAAAAATGACACGCAAATCTACATACTTGACAATTTTTGCCTTATTCGCCTTGGTTTCAGTTGAAGCACTTCCCTTAGAGAAACGCGATGGCGACCATAATGGCAACGTTGGTGGTATCGGTAACTGCAACGGTTTCGGAACCTGCAATTCTAACGGTAACAATAACGGAAACAACAGCAACGGAAAAGGAAACGGTGATCACAACGGCGAAATCCTCGGTCTAGGAAACTGCAATGGATTCGGCGTCTGCAAAGGAAACGGAAACGGCAACGGAAACAACAATGACGGCGATGACAATGGAACCTTTAACGGAAACGTTTACGGCGCTGATTTGTCGAACCTTAATGCCAATGGTGCCAGTGGAAATGGTAATGGTAACGGCAACGGTAACAAAGGAAACAAAAACGGAAACAAAAATGGTAACTCCAATTCAGGATCTGGAAATGGAAATGGAGCTGGAAATGCCAATGTAGGAAATTCCAACGGAAATGAAAATGGAAACCAAAATAAAGGAAACGCTAATGGAAATGGCGCTGGTAATCAGAATAAAGGAAACGACAATGGAAATGTTAACGGAAACCAAAACAAGGGTAATGCCAATGGTAATGGTGTTGGCAACCAAAACGTTGGTAACAGCAATGGCAATGCTAACGGAAACCAAAACAATGGTGATGCCAATGGTCTCGCTAACGGAAACAAAAATGTCGGAGATAAGAACGGCAATTTGAATGGAAACCTAAACAATGGCACTGCTAACGGAATCGCTAATGGAAACCTAAACAATGGCACTGCCAACGGAAACAACAACGGAAATGTTAACAAAGGTGATTTTAATGGCATGCTTAACGGTAATATAAACAACGGAACCAACAATGGAAACTC